TATATATATATATATATATATATATATAATATACACACACACACACTATATAGTATTTATTAATACTATTTTTATAATAATTGGTTAATTATTTTTATAACAACTATTTTTCTTTAGAATCTTGGTTTTTAACTGATTATTATAGCCTTATTTTTTTCACCTGGTGGATCCTATGTACTCCTATAGAGGTATCCCGAGTCATATCTAGAGCTTAGAGTCTTTAGGGAATTGGGCCAGTAAACAACCACCCAGTGCTGATAGGGCGTCATGATGACAGGTTTTGCATGGGCATCCACCGTTCACATTTCCATCAGGAAATGTAAAAATCTTGTTTGCATATGTTCTTTTCTTCCACATGGCTCTTCTGTCTTTCCCCTGATTTACTGTAGCTCAGCAAAACTAGTATCATGCGAGCATTCCTGTATAAATGACAACCACCCCACTGCCAGGAACACATCACCTCACACCCTCTCACATTTCACACTATTTGAATAGCCACGTTGCTGTTTAAAATAGCTTGGGCTGTACTGTGCTTTGAATACTGCTTTCAGTTACTGTGTAACTATTTTACTGAACTAAACCACACTGAAGTGAAAGTTCTGCTGAAACTCCTGCTGCTAAAAAAATGTAAAGTGATAGAAACTTCATGTGAAATCAGAAGACTTGCGTAGAAGCCATAAGGATATGAGACCCTTTTTGGTTCACATTTTTAAAGGGTAATATGACCAGTGATTTCATTTTCTATTCATGGGTTTCTTCAGAAAAATGGAGAAATGGAAACTGAAAGCACAAATGGAGAAAACTGGCCTCTTTTCATACAGTGTATAGTTTCAAGGGCTACCAAGATCTAAAAAGGCCTGAAAAAAGCACCATCAAATTAGTCCTCATGACTTGTGCATTTCCAAGTTTCCAAGTATTCTGAAGTCATGTGATGTTTTGTGTGAAGATTATTAGTTTTTCTCTGAAAATCTTCCCCTTCACTGCAGTACTTAAAGGGTTAGTTCACCCAAAAATGAAAATTCTGTCATTAATTACTCACCCTCGTGTTGTTCGAAACCCGTAAGACCTTCGTTCATCTTCGGAACACAATTTAAGATATTTTTGATGAAATCTGAGGGCTCTCTGACTCTCCCATAGACAGTAAGGTAACTACCACGTTCAAGGTCCAGAAAAGTACCAAGATGATCGACAAAGAAGTCCGTGTGACATCAGTGGTTCAACTGTAAAGTTACGAAGCTACGAGAATACTTTTATGCACAAAGAAAACAAAAATAACGACTTTATTCCACATTTTCAT